TGGAGTTTTACTCTGTCGCCCAGATTGGAGTGCATAGCATGCTCAGGGCCACTGCAGCCTCGACCTGCTGGGCTCAGAAGATCCTTCCGCCTCAGCCTTCCTTGTAGCCAGAACTACAGGAGCATGCTACCAGGCCTGGCTAATTTTTTCATTTATTGTAAAGACAAGGTCTCACGAAGTTGCCCAAGCTGGTCTCGAACCCCTGGGTTCAGGCAATCCTCTCGCCTCAGCCTCCCAAAGTGCTGGGATTACAGGCTTAAGGCACTGCGCCATCTCGAACATTTATTGTTGAGAACATTCAATATCATCCTTCTAGCTACTTGAAACTATATAATTTATTATTGCTAACTATAGTCATTCTACAGTACTACAGAACATTAGAATGTATTCCTCCTATCTAGCTGTCATTCTGTGTCCCTTTAACTATTTTCTCCCTATCTTCCCCTTCTGCCTATTCTTCCCAGCCCTTATCTCTCCTGAGAAATCATATCCTTTCTTTCTTTCCTAGTTCATCTGCCCCAGAGACCCAACTCCACAGTATGACATATAGAAAACATGGCTGACATTAGATTTCTGGCATGAGGGAATGGTCTCACTGTGCATCCAGACCTACTGAGCTGCTGACGGGCATGGGAAAGAGCTGCTTACATGGAAGCCTTTCATCCCCTCCTCACTTCCCTCAAATAGTGTGAGTCACAGACCGACGCATACAACAATGGCATCATTAGATAATCTGGAGACACTAGCAGCAGTAATATTGTCAATATTTTTATATCACTAATATATATATCCTTGATAAAACCTAGTGATCACACATGCTTACCCTGATGCTAACTAAAAAAAAATAACAAGGATTGTTTCAATTACATACGCAAATAGTGAACATTTATATCTCAAAACTATTTCTATTATAAGCCCATAAAAATGAATGTAACAATTTTTAAAGCATCCCAATGAGAAACTAAATATAAAACAAAATTGTTTAAGATAATTTTCCTTGGAAATTTCAAAGAATAAAGCTTCAGGTTTATTAGACCAACTTCTAATCAAGTAGGTCAAGGCAAGTAGTTATCATTTTGATTATTATTTAAGAACTCCAGCTAATTTAATTTTCTCAAATATGCATTAAAATATTCTGCCTCTCTATTTCAGTTTTCAAATAAATGAAAATACATTGTCTTACAGTTTCATATTCTTCCTTACACATTTAAACAATATTGTCTATACTCTTAAATCAATGAGAATTTCCAGTGAATATTTAATTTGCTCAAAGGAAAGAATGGAAATACTGCTTTACTAAATAGTCAATGCTGACCTTTTAAATTAACCCAAACACTTTTAATTCTCCAAAATTGGGGGCTAGAGATGGGAAGCACATTCACTTTCCAAATGAAAATCTCACAGAATACACATTCTCTTATCTAATTCATCAGAATGCCCACCCACGGGCACTGAAAAGCTGTAATCCCAGCAAGCAAGAGCCATACCGTGTGCATGCACTCATGTGAAAATATCACACACACTAAATTGCATTGAGGCCGTGACAACATGCAACTTAGTAATGTGCAATATCTCCACCAGAGCAAGCAGAATGGGAGCATCAGGGAAGAAGGGTGTGATGTATACATTCAGGAGACAACATGCTGCTAAAGAGAGGAAAATGGTTTGGGGATAAAGGATGCATGCCACTGACTCAAAAATATATGAAATGAAAACCCAATTGCAAATGTAATCAATTTAGAAGAAGTATTCTTCAAAATTCAATGAAATAGTGATCCTAAAGGAACCATATATTTAAGAAGGCAAAACTTCAGGAAGAGATGCTATTTTACTGTCTGGTCATGCAGTTAACCCCCAATTTCAATTCCACTTTTAACTTATTAATGAATCATATAAAATGAAATTAATTATTTAAATATTTAATTGTTTCCATTTAACTGCAACACTGATGATGACTGATGATTAATGATGCTTATAAAATTTGGCACTGCTGACAATTTGCAGACTAAACTGCACTTTGAGGACATTATATTTTCAAAATCATTTGTATAATATTTTTTTCTCTTATTATCTCTTTCTATGAAGAAATAAATTCCTTCTTGAACACAATCTTTCAGAAGAAAAAATTTGACAAGAGTTCTTAGAAATAGTACTCACTGCTATCTTATCTATATAAGAAAGCTCTTCAGAGGAATCTATATAAAACCTGTACACTTTAAGTCTCAAATCTGACCCTGTAAAGAAACAGCCCAGAGAACTTAGACTGCAAAAAATCATCTTGAATTATAATCTTCAACTTTTATAACTTGATACAGCTTTGGCTAGAAAAATAGCCCAAGCCAGGCTCAGTGGCTCAGCCTGTAATACCGCGTCTTTGGGAGGCTGAGGTGAGTGGATTGCCTGAGCCCGTGGGTTCGAGACCCGCCTGGGCAGCGAGACCTCATCTCTACAACAAATCAAAAAATCAGCCGGGTGTGGTAGTGCATGCCTGTAATTCCGGCTACTTGGAAGGCTGAGGTGGAAGGATCGCTGGAGCCCAGCAGGTCGAGGCTGCAGTGGCCAAGAGCGGCCACTGCACTCCAGTCTGGGCGACAGAGTGAGACTCCAACTCCAACTCCAAAAAAAAAAAGAAAGAAAGAAAGAAAATTAGCCCAGGTCATAGCACATTCTTTAGTCTGTATCATATTTATCAGACTCCAAAAAAACTATTGATTTTGAAAACCATTAGAATTATAGTTCTTGTACAGCAGGTTGTTAAAATTGTTTCTGTATTAAAAACATGATAATAAAATGAATCATTTTTGTCCCAGTTTGTGACCAAGATATGAGCTACTGTTATAGTACATAATTAGTGTGCACACTCCCAAGAAAATAAGACAAATCTAATTTGTAGAAGATACATTTATTTTTTCCTGTCTCTGTAGATGACAGTATCCTTTCTCATCTCAAATTCTCTCCTGAGCCAAAGACCTGATTCTAGTTTCCAGCCTTGTTGTGTCCATTTGAATAGTCTTAACAGTATCACAAATTTAACTTATGATATTCCCTACACAGCTCCTCCTGGAAGAAGATCTCATGGTAAAATACGTACTTTCAGTCAGCTGAACCTAGGTGTTACTCACAGTTTATTTAACATTGACCAGAAACCATGACATTTAAGAATTAAGTTTAAAACAAAGGAGGTGGCATATCTGCTATGAAAAAAGGTGACTTAATGACATACATTTAGAGGGTGATCAGTAACTGGTTTATTCTAAGAAAGCAGAACAAGAGAAAATTCAAGAACTGTAATTTGAAGATACAAAAACTTTGTAAGAATAAATCAGAGCTTATAAGGTCGAGGAAAAGGAAGCATCATCTTCCTTGAAGTTCTTTACAAGGTAGATATTTTTCTGCAAGGCTTGACTTAAGTCACACCGACTAGAAGATTCTAACTAGCCTTTGACTTGGCTGATTCAATAGCTTTATCAACTGGGAAGATACAAGGTTAGTTTTCCTTTTTGGTAGAGCATTTGCATAAGCTTTTTTGAGTCAGATGTCACTTAGATAAACAAAAAACAATCTATTGCTCGGATTTTCATTATTTCATTTACTAAGTATACATAATATATATTATCAGTAAGCCTAAAAACCAATGGTCATATAGGCCTTAGGAGGGATGTTTCAGCTGGTACTTCCCTCAAGACAGATTCACTATTACATTAGGTACTACACTCCCAAACCTGGAATCTTTATATGGATGGCCCCCACCAAGTGGATGGATACCTGATGGCACCATATAGGTGCTAAGAGCTTTTTTTTTCTAACTCACACTCTCAGTCAATTAAGGAAACAAGATACGGTGACAGCTTTACCCAGGCCTTGCTAGTATGAAAAAGGGAGAGAACCTACCAAAGTTGCTACAGACAATATATTTCAATTTTTTTCATTCAAATGAAGATTGCATCCCATTTGAATGTAACTGAGGTTTTTCTAAAGATCAAAGTGGTATTCTCCCCAGCTGTTACATAAGCACAGTGAAAAAATAAGTCAAGATCAGTTAGACAGGATTATCAAGTCAAATCAAGACTTCTGTGCAAGACTACTTCCAAACAATGATATTTTTGAAAAGCACGTAGAAACAGAAATGCTAGCCAAAGATACACTAGTCAAGAGAAGCTTAAGACCACCTAGCTAACAGCTTATTAGAAAAAGAAGCTCTAATGGACAATATAAGTGTTTAGTAGCTGTTCACAAGAAGAAAAAATGTAGTTGAGTCTTATCAATGAGCAATGAGGGACAGGGGCTGAAGGAGGGGCTCATAGAGGCCTGCTCTGCAAAGGGTCTCTCCCTACCAGGAATGATAATGAAGAGCAAAAGGAAAAGGGGCCCAGGTGCTGATGATCTGAAAAGAGCTTATGGAGAATAAAAGTTGAAGAAGCTCATTCAGAAACCAAGCCTGAAATACATGGGCCCTCAAAGACATGACAAAAGTTGCTGGTCAGAACATACAGTGCACACAGGCCCTGTGACTTAAGAGATAACCAAAGACTCTGCATTGCCAGTATCCAACCTACCCCTCGCAGAGGGCACGGCTTGGTACAGAAGGGACAGAGGAAGAAACAGGAAGGTCACCTATTCTGCTACTGGAGCAAAGCTAGAATTCCTGAGAACAGAGGAGAATTCGAAAAGGAGGCGAGGGGGATGTGTGGTAGAAAACAGGGTTCTCCCAAGCAAGTGACATGATGATAAGAGCTAGACTAAGATCCCACTGATGGAAACAGGCCACTACCTCTTTGCTAATCACAGGTTTGAGGGTCACACAGCAAAATTATTTTAAGTTTCTTTCTTATTAATATTTACACCGCTTATATTTATCCTCCCAAAATGAGTTTTAAAAAAATACCAGAGTCCTTCACTGGTTTCATGCAGAATGTTACTAGGATGCTCAAAACAAAAATGAGGCGTCTCACAGAAAACAGTTTCTGAAAGAAGTAGAATAAAACAAACCGTATCCCTACCTGATAGCTTCTTCCACAGACTGGCCAATAATATTAGAAGAAGGACCTGGCTGAGAGAGTGGAGTCAGACTTATCACCCACTTCACTGGCTTGTAGTACTCATCACTGGAACTTAATAGATAAAATAGTGTGGTCAGGAAAATTATCTGCAAAACAAAGGACAGTATCTCCTAAAAAAATCACATTTGTAAACTATAGGAAAACAGACATCCACAGATGCAAATAAACCAAGAATATGCCTTAATGGGGAAGAAAATGTGACATGTACTCATCTATGTAGACATACCAAAGACAGCACAAAATTGAGAAGGGCTGTCCCACTGTAGAAGAGGATGGTCAGGAGCGTAGTGACAGTGGTAAACAGCAGGCTCACGTTCCGGCTCATAACAATCCACAGAGACTCCAAGATCTGATGAAGAGGGAAAGATGGACATAAGAACTAATACTCAGGAAAGACATTTCCACAGTTATCTAGTGTACTTTTAATACAGTGTCTTAGTAATATGAACAGAAAAGACAAGAACTGAGGAATGTATTAAACGAGAAAAAAAATGAACTGAAAAGAATTGCATGATTAACAGTAAGGAAAATGGTTGAGTGAATTATGATGAGTCCACCCCAAATAATATTAAACAGCCATTAAAAACATCTCTAGTACAACATGGAAAAATATTTTATAATATAATGATAAGTTAAAGAAGTAGGATAAGCCGGGCTCGGTGGCTCAGCCTGTAATCCCGTGCCTTTGGGAGGCTGAGGTGAGTGGATTGCCTGAGCCCGTGGGTTCGAGACCCGCCTGGGCAGCGAGACCTCATCTCTACAATAAATAAAAAAAAAAAAAAATCAGCCAGGCGTGGTAGTGCATGCCTGTAATTCCAGCTCCTTGGAAGGCTGAGGCGGAAGGATCGCCGGAGCCCAGCAGGTCGAGGCTGCGGTGGCCGGGAGCGGCCACTGCACTCCAGTCTGGGCGACAGAATGAGACTCCAACTCAAAAAACAACAACAACAAAAAAAAGAAGTAGTTAAGCTGGGCTCGGTGGCTCAGCCTGTATTCCCGCACCTTTGGGAAGCTGAGGTGAGTGGATTGCCTGAGCCCGCGGGTTCGAGACCCACCTGAGCAGCAAGATCTCATCTCTACAATAAATCAAAAAATCAGCCGGGCGTGGTAGCGCATGCCTGTAATTTTGGCTTCTTGGAAGGCTGAGGCGGAAGGATCACCGGAGCCCAGCAGGTCGAGGCTGCAGTGGTGGGAGCGGCCACTGCACTCCAGTCTGGGCGACAGAGTGAGGCTCCAACTCCAAAAAAAGAAGAAGAAGAAGGATAACAAATTTTCTATATAATTATAACTGTAAAAATGGCAAGCATAGACAAAATTGTCATGTGTCACTTAACTATGGGGATATTGCCAGTATCCAACCTACCCCTCGCAGAGGGCACGGGGATATGTTCTGAGAAATGTGTCCTTACGTGGTTTTATTGTTGTAAGGACATCATGGATTATACTTACACAAACCTAGCTGGCAGAGCCTACTACACACCTGTGCTATATGGTTTAGTTTATTGCTCCGGGGTTACAAACTTGACAGCATTTTACTATATTGAACACTGTACGCAACTCTAACACAATGGTATGTATTTGTATATCTTAACATGGAAAAAGTACATTAAAAATACAGTATTCTCATATTATGGGACCACCATCCTATATGTGGTTTGTTGTTGACTGAGACATCATTATGTGACACATGACATGACTATATCTGCAGGAGAATATGCCAGAATATAACCTGTGGTTATATTTTATCTTGTAGGATAGTAAGTACAAACCATGAAATTCCAGCATTTATTTTATTGGCTGCCTAGTTACCACTCTTGCCATCTCCAACTTAGACTCATCTACAAATATAGGTCACTTCAAGGACTTTGTTAAAATAATAATGAAAGTAATGAACAGATAGGGTTAAGGGCAGAGCTCTGCAGCTGAAAATCATTCCTAAGCCAAACAATGATGACTATATTAAAACCTATTGAGTTCAGTTAATCCATCACCTGCAAATTCATTACTATCAGGTAACAAGATGATGGTTTTTCATATATATTTAGTATTACTAAAGGAAGATATACAATCTCTGTAGCACAACTGCATGTTTTCATTTACTATCTCTTCATGAACTTCAATTCCCTTATGCTAATGTCTGTTCTATTCTTCCCAAAGTGGACTATCCTTCCTATTAACAAACACAAAAGCAAAATCATCAGGAAAACACTTTCTTGTAAAGTTTTCAAAACACTTCCATAAAGGAACGCTGTTGGTGAAGCAATCTAAATGATATCATCTCTACTTTATATATTTACAAATTGAAGCTCAGAAATTGTTAATAACTTGCCCAAGGACACAAAGGCAGTAAGTGGAACTAGAGCTGGGTCAAAACTTGTAACATCTGATTTTTATTTTGGTGCCCTTTCCAAAACAGCAGGTCTGTTTTTTGTCATATGTTTCAGTTATTCCATCTGTTCTATGAAAGACTTATCCATTCCTTTCCTCAAATGTATCATTCATAAAGGCATATTTTGTTGACTTCAACATTTCTTGCAAACCTCAGCTGGGTCTTCGAGAAAGCCTTGGCAGGCTGGTTTCACTTACAAAAACTCCTTACATAAAATCCTGAAAATGTTTCACATTGCCTACAAAAATATGCATGATTGACTGTTTGACCTTATGGGATAAAGAATGAATGAACAATACCATCAATTCCAAGAAACAAACCAACAATGACTTTACTTGTGATTTTGACAAGCATTCTTTTTGGGACTTCAGTCATTTTGGAATTTTTATCAAAAAAAATCTTAAATACTTTCTGGGTCACACAGAAAAAAATACTCCTGTGGTAATTCTTAAGAAAGTAACAGAATACATTAATTGTAGTCTGATAGTCTCCAACAAGTAACTTTCTTATTTAAAAGAAAGAATGAATGGGGGGAGGGGTGTCAGCTGGAGAAAACAGAGAAAAGAACAATTCTAGAATAGTAACTAAATCCTTAAGGTAAAGTAGTTTTAGTTTATAAGCCAGGTTAGAAAGAAGGAAATGAGTAAAGGCAGATGCAATAACAAGACCCCTAAAATTCTAAAAGTAAAACAGGTTTATAAAGATAAAATGTATCACAACACAAGTTTGGGGTTAGTTTAAGCAATGGTAGCAACTTCACTACTGAAAGGATGTCAAGAATATGAACTCAGTCATGAAATACATACAAAAACCCAGGAGTCTTACTTAAGCAAACAAGCAACGCAGTCGTAAAAGGTGGTCTCTGCTGTGGATGAGAAATGATCACCAAGGCCTCCCCATCCCAACTGTTGTGCATTCCTTTACTCAGAATCCACTGCTCACCAAAAAACCTTTTGATTATTATTTTGGCTTTTCAGGTACTCATGAAAAGCCATCTGCCTACCTTATCTAGAGCCAGTGAAGGAAACTTAAAGGAAGCAGTTTAGAAAAAAAGAGGAATAGAACGTTGCAAGGATGCAGAGGTCAAAAAAGAGAAAATGTTTCACTTGGCAGGCCTCAGCTATCTCTGCCTCAAAGAGTCTGGAGGGAGCCTGAAGACAGTGGACTCTGCTGTATCTGCTGTCCTCCAGTTCATCTATCTTTCTTATCTATCCATAAAGGAAGAGAGTTGAGCCAGTTCAAAACACCATTTCAATTCAGTCACTTTACTTCTAACTACAAAAATAATTATTATTCAAGCTGTAATAGTCTTCTCTTAATTAGTTTAATTGAGAAATTAACATCACACTCCAAGGTATGACAGTGATAAATGAGATTTTTATTAAAGTCTAGCCAGGAAGACTGGGTGTAAACAATAAAGAGTTAAAAACTTTAAAAGAAGGTAACAAAAGAAGAGTTGAAAACAATAAATGCAGCCAGCTTGGTGGCTCAGCCTGTAATCCCGCGCCTTTGGGAGGCTGAGGTGAGTGGATTGCCTGAGCCCGC